GAGAAACAAAACTACTTTTTGCTAACTAGAACTAGATAATAGGGAATTTTTTGAAGGACCGGATAATCGAGGCTCTAACAAATTGTTTACAAAGATCTAGTCGTGTATAATAAATTCTCCCCAATTGTCCATCGGCTTTTAAACAAAAATTATCAATTAACTATAAAATATCGTATTTCCCCTTCCCAAATTGTCCATTCTTGTGCGCAGTCTGAGCGCGAATTAGGGAGAAATAACTGTGACCGTATCTCCTCTTCCCAAATTGTCCATTTTAGTTTAAAAGCCGGAGGACAATTGGGGAGAATTTATTGTATTATATATTTATAATAATATATTTATTATATTATTATATTTATAATAATATATTTATTATATTTTTATATTTGTAATAATATATTTATTATATTATTATATTTATAATAATACATTATATTATTATATATAGTGGTTTATCTTATCGGGGAGAGAAATATTAATCGAATGTAGCAATTGATCGTTCACCTTCGAAATTAAGAAGGCTAAGAAGATTTGAATGATGACTAACGTGCTCGTCATAACGTAAGCGACGATGACGATTCTAAGTAGGACAGGGCTCATCACTTGGGCGCAGCCGTTCGTGTTGATCGTTTTCACGTCGTTCCCTTGGATCTCGGTATGCTCGCACGGCGACATGGCACGTAGGTCGCAACAGCTGAAAGGGACACCGCGGTCTCTGTATTCCTCGTCGGATATCCTACTTTGCGCCGCCATTTCCTCCCGAGACGCGTAGTCTACGCCCTGATAGAACGATATTAATCAATGAAATTATTTCACGAAAAATATTGGCCGCAATGTTCCCGGAATGGAATCGAAAGTTTCAACGATTCGAACTGCTTGATTTTCTATACTAAGTGCCTAACCGACGTTTGTTACTTTATAAAAATAACAAGGGAGAATGTATTCAGACCACTCGCCAGTTTTATTGTAATTAGAATGCGGATCTTTGTGTCTTTATGGCATTTGCAAATAATAAGAATGGATATTAATATATATATTAATATCCATTCTTATTATTGCCGCGCTTCGCCGGACGTCGCCGTGCGTCCGGACGAAACTGCGTTTACCCGAAGGGTTTTTCTCCATTGTCGCGCGTTTTATACCAGTGTTGCGAGTTACCCTGGATTCACCTGCCAGTCAAATTGGAACCAGTCCGCGTAGGATGTGTGGCCGCAGCACTGGAAGATGAACTGTATCTCGTCGATCGCGTACTTGTACGACGCCGTGCTCACGTACAGCCGCATCGAATTGTTGAAAATATCGATCAACGACTCCTGCCTGACGCTAATGTGATATCCGATGGATACTAAAGTGGCCGCATTCAATATCGCGCAGATCGCGATAGCGATCAGCAAGCACTTCAGGGACCGCCTCGTCTCCGCGCAGCAGCGTGGCACCTTCCGGCTAAACAATCGACGGAACCCGACGTGAGTGACCGCTGCACCGTTCATATCGGTGTTACATACAGGGTGTCCCAAAAATGTGTCTCGCAATCCGAAAGTGACGGGTTCCTCGGGTGATTCGAAGCAACTTTTTCCCTGTCTCTTATACACATCTAGATGTGTATAAGAGACAGTATATATATATGTATACATATATATATACTGTCTCTTATACACATCTAGATGTGTATAAGAGACAGTATATATATATGTATACATATATATATACTGTCTCTTATACACATCTAGATGTGTATAAGAGACAGTATATATATATGTATACATATATATATACTGTCTCTTATACACATCTAAAACAGCGACCAATAAGAATCGAGTACGGCTGACGCGAGGCAGCCCGGCCAACCGGCGCGTGAAGCCCAGTTCCGCACGTTGGCTCGGTCGCCTCGCGCCGGCCGAGCTCGCCTCTCATTGGTCACTGCTTTTCGTTGATAACTCGTTAACGGTGCCTCGGAAAAAATTGTTGTAAAGGAGAAAGTTGCTTCGAATCACCCGAGGAACCCGTCACTTTCGGATTGCGAGACATTTTTGGGACACCCTGTATAATTACACTGCGAATGTTTATGCGAATTCTTATATTCATTAGATTATAATTATTATATATTATTATATTATATATAATATTATTATATATTGTTATATTATATATAATTATTATTATATTCATTATATTAAATTAGAATTAATGTTTTTGCATAAACTAATTAGAAACCACTAAAAATCTCGTTGCACTGTTCTGAATTTATTTGAACCATTGAATCAAGAAGAAATGCATCGATTTTTATTTAATCTCGACTTAACCATGACATAACCTCGACTTTTGTACAGTCGATGCGGACAATTCTCGTTTCGCACTAACGACCCACAGTCTAGTTATGGTAAAACGAGTAGACAGAAGCAAACGCGAATTGTTAAATAAATATTGTAAATAATAACTTACTCGCGTATACTGCGAACAGTGATCAAAGCAGTCGGCAGACCCACGCTGACATTTACCAAAGTGAACACGACCGGTTGCAAACCGCCCGCGAACCGAATGATCTGCCATTCGGCAAATATCTCCAGGATCAACATGAAGAATCGTTTAGCTTCGAAGATGGCCAAGGTGACTGCCACACCATAACCGAATCTCACCTCCCAACCGCAATTGCATGGCGACCTTTCGTTTCTATTGAATACCACGTTGCTCCGCTTGCTCTCGTTCCACGACATTCAACAGATAATTCCCGCTTCCAGTTGATCACGTCTTCGATTATCGACCGTTTTACCTAAAAATGTCTTCCGAGCGGCCATCTTGGAAATCACAAAATTCGGGTCAATTGAGATTCGAGATCTAAAATTCTGGTCTCTATCTGTTCGCAAGTGGGCCGTGGATTTTTATGCGAAATAAAAATTACTTCTCAGTTCGGGGCTCGGAATTAACCTGCACGCAACATTTGGATCGCGAGAGTTTCGCCTGCCGGCTCCCGTCGCGCGTCTCGCTCCCCCGTGGTCGCCATTTTCTGTGCGGAGCGTCTCACGCGCGTATGCCTGTTGCTAGATATTTGCGCATGCGTGTGCGCGTGCGCGTTAGCTGTCACCGGGCAGCCAGACGCGTGACGTTAGTCGGTAGGCGTAGTGCCCGCGATCCTTGCGATGCTTGCTGGTCAATTCCGAGTCCTGCTTAAATTGATTTGCGGTAAACAATATTTACTTCGCGCAAGGATCCGCAGCCCGATAATCGGTACATCTATTCCACGCTTGTTAAAGTAATTTCCTCATCGAACCGTATCTCTCTTTTATCGATAATTTTCGCGTTACGGAATATTGTGAAACAGTTACATCATTTCTCGCTAGATTTCGCTATTCGCAAATAACGAACTGCTGCGCAATTTAGCAATTAGCGAGGAGAGAGGGGGGGAAGGGATTTCTGTCGAAGCATCGTCGTTGTTTCAACCGTGATGCGCGGCCGTTGAGAATAATTTCGACCGGAAGTCGAAAATGACGGAAAAACATGTTTGCCCGAGGCCGAGGCGCAATTACATTGTTACCTTGCGACCGTAATTGAGGTGCGCGAGGCTCCCGAGCTTTCTACGCGCAACTCTACGAACAGTTCCCTCGCGGAACTGTAAAAAGACTCAACGATCTACAGGGTGTCCCAAAAATATCTCGCAATCTGAAAGTGGCGGGTTCCTCAGGTCGTTTGAAGCAACTTTTTCCTTTACAACATTTTTCTTCGAGGCACCGTTAACGAGTTATCAACGAAAAACAGTGACCAATGAGAGGCGAGCTCGGCTGGCTCGAGGCGACCGAGCCAACGAGCGGAACCGGGCTTCGCGCGCCGGTTGGCCGGGCCGCCTCGCGTCAGCCGTACTCGATTCTTATTGGTCGCTGTTCTTTCGTCGATAACTCGTTAACGGTGCCTCGGAGAACATTTTCGCAAAGGAAGAAGTTGCTTCGAATGATCCGAGGAACCCGCCGTTTCGGGTTCGTCTCGATCCGAGACATTTTTGGGAGACCCTGTAGATTGTTCGAACGTCGTTCACGTGGCCGCGCGGAGTTTCCGACGTCTGTCAACAACTGTACGCGTTTGCATCTGTTCCACCCGTGTTTATCGGGATGTCGCGATGTCGATCTCTCTCGAGTCCAAGGTCAATCGACTCTGTATGCAAAGTTTCGCCGACGGTCGTTCGACTCGGCCCGAGATGCCGAGCTATGATTCGATTAACTGTGATCTTTTAATTAGTATTGCGAACGTTCGCGTGAGCCGGATCGGATCTCTTTGAATTTGAATGACTCGAAACGCGCAATAACAATGAATATTCTAAACGGTTAATCACTGCGCCAATCTCCGCGGAGGTTTACGCGTCTCCGTGTAATCCGCTTTGGCGCGCGAACATCTTTCGTGTATCATCCCGTTGATCTCCTTCTAAGTGGCGTTCGTAAGAACATAAACTGACGGCGTTGAGGTTATGTATGTATGTATGTGTGTATGTTTGTGTACGCCCAGGTAAACAAAAAATATGAGAAATGAGAGCTTCCTTTCGGAGATTCGAAGGTCAATTTTGTTTCTTTTTTTTTAAATGGAATACTATATTTTTTTTTGAGCAAAATGTATATATATATATATAGATGTATATATGTAAATGTATTTTGTATAGGTAATTGTATAGGTTCTGGAAATAATTTGACTCCGACAATCTTCAAGCTCGCAAAGAAGCCCGACACCACTCGTGAACGATATAAACAACCTGTCCAAGTTGAACCGTGGCGAAGAGCTCGAGAACAGTTTTACGATTCTCATTCGACGGATCCTCCGGATTTCTCTGTCGACGGGACACTCACCAGACGCCATGTTGCGGGAGATAAGGCAGCCTCTTGTGAGATTTAATGTTCCCTCGCGGTTTCGAGGTCCTGTTTGAGGAACGGCGTGAACAACGCGTCGACGATGGGTCGTTGTCTTTCCACCGGAACCAATTTCACTGGAGTTTCTTCGATCGGAGGACGGAACGTATATACAGACAATAATTTATTATCACAATAACGGCTACACGAGAGATGCGCGTTTAAGCAACAATTACACGCTCGATCGTCGATCTTACTTTGCACTAATATTTACACAAGACGATTAAAAGAACGGTTACAGGATTATTCAAAATTTGGGATCACACGTGTCTGTATACATATACATGGTGTCCCGAAAATGTCTCGAAATCCGGAAACGGGAGGTTCCTGGGGCGATTTGAAGCAACTTTTTCCTTTTCGAAAATTTTCTCCGAGGCTTCGTTCACGAGTTATTAACGAAAAAACACTGACCAATAAGAGGCGAGCTCGGCCGCGTTAAATGTTTAAACCTATTGACAACGATGTGAAATTGTTTTCGGAACAGTTTTCTGTCCGAAAAAGAGAAGAGATTCTCTCTGAACGCGGTATCGCGAAATTGCCCGAAAAAAATGGCAAAATGTAATCGAACAAAACGGAAAATACATTATTGGTATTATATATAACAATACATAACAATAATAATAATAATAATTTTATAATATAACATTCAGGCTTCCCCCACCACGCCTACGCCTCGCTCACGCACGCGACGGTCGACGTGGTGGGGGAACCGACTGCCGCCGAGTGGAAGCGACGGCGGACATGTTCCCTAGGCCTGTACTAGAACAATGCAACTTTCACCTTTCTCGACTCAACAGAAGTTCCATTTATACACTTTATTAACCATCTGTTAGGCGCGTTATATTCTAAAATGCATATCGCCGAACTAAAATACCACAAGATACGATAAAACAAGGCTCGGCTACTTCAGTCCAGGCGGTTTCGCCCGCAAATAAATACACGTGCGCCTAGCAGAGGGTTCAAACGTTCTTCTCGTCGACTCCTAACCTTTCTACGAGCTTAATAACGTACAAAGAACTTAATGGCTAAACAGTCCTAATGAATCACCGGGTGCGCAGGTACTAACAGCGGAGCATTAGCCGGTAAATCAAGCATCCCCGTCTGCGCCGCGATACTATCAACAGGTAAGAACGTGCTAAATCACCGTGTCAACCGAACAGTTCTCACGTTCTTTCTTTCCCTTTCGCTTCGCGCGGCAATCCCGCCTATTCGAAACACCGGAATGAACCGGCGTGTTTGCGCGAGCGTTTCGCGCGTTAACACGACGAACGTAAGAAGAGAAACGTAACGCGTTTCCATAAAATATAACGGGGTAAGACGCGTCGCGTAACGGCTAGTTCAAATCACTCGGTACTTGAAGATGTTCACGTAGGAATTCTTGATGCCGTAGGTCCAGAACGCCAGGAACGGCAGGTTTTCGATCAGGTACATGGTCAACCGCATCTGACCGTTGAAGTACGCCCTGAAGAACGAGGACCACCAGTGCGTGGTCGGCAGCAGGTACTTGTGCACCATCGTCTGAAGATGCAGGACGAATCTGCCGTAGCGGGACAGGTGCGACGTGTCTGAAAAAGAATTCTTGTAGAAGAATATTGTACAAGGATATATTGTATAATATTGTACAAGAATATTGTATAATATTATATAATATTGTACAATAATATTGTATAATATATAATATACAATAAGTGTAATATTGTATAATATTGTACAAGAATATTGTATAATATTATATAATATTGTACAATAATATTGTATAATATATAATATACAATAAGTGTAATATTGTATAATATTGTACAAGAGAGAGAGAGAGAGAGAGAGAGAGAGAGAGAGAGAGAGAGAGAGAGAGAAAGAGAGAGAGAATATTGTACAATTCGTCGTCTCGTAGGTGCCGTTCGATTTCAAGATCACGGTGACGTCGATCGACGTACCTATCTTCAACGAGTGATTGTTGTTGGTGGCGCTGGCGGACGCCAATGTCAGGGTGAACGCGATGAACGCGTCCGGGTCCATGTACGGGGTCATCGGCCACAGGCCTTTCATCAGGGTGCGGCTCATCTCGTTGAAATCTTTGTTCTCGTTGGCAAGAGACGGCAGGAACACGTCGTCCAGGACGCGTCTGCAAAGGGCGCGGGTCTCCTCGACGCTTCCCGAGCATAGGTTGTATCTGTCAAGTGGAGGAAATGATATTAGTTTCTCGATATTTACATATTATATTATATTATAATATTACATAATATATATAATATTATATATATATTATAAATTATATAATTTTACAGTATTTCCACTTGATACGAATAATTAATATTATATTATATATATATAATATTATTAAAAAAAATATCTTTATTTTGGAATTAAATAGTCTCGAGTGCAAAGGGTTAATATTCGAATAATATCGAATATTAATCCGTTCGGTTTCTCGCGAAACAACAGAAATTGCTGCTGCCAAGAGCGATTTGCTACTTTTACCGCACGAATCAGTGTACACGTCGGACACAGTTTTCTTTTTTTATTAAGATTCCCTATAGACCCATAAAGCTGAGAAAAGATTCGATTTCTCGGTACATCGCGTCGCGTTGAAGATACATAATTCGAAGCTGGGCGTGCAAACATACAGGGTGGGTCGCGGCGCCGCGTATTACCACCTCGATTTACGCGACTATTATTACACGTAGCGAAAACTGTTTCGCAGGAAATATGAACGGTATCGAGCGAAGCATATTTTCGTGCTATTAGTTCTCTCGTGAGTGCAAGCGTAAAGGTCACACGAAGGTCGCCTTGATTTTCTTAAATGGAGCAATATACTTTTTCATACATCAACGAATGCGGCTCCACGATAGTTATTAAAATGTACGAGCAATAATAGTCGTGTAATCTTAAGTGGTAATATGCGGCAATCCACCTTGCACCACCCTGCACCGCCCTGCACCCTGCAGCCGATTTTACTGGAAAGATAGAAAACAATTTCCCGGTAATTTCAGTTTCTAAAATAATGATGGATAAAAAATATCCGTATTCGCGAAGCACTATGCGATTTAGTCGTCAAGTTTCCACCGATCTAATAATAAATAGGTGGAGAAAATGAAGGGGGTTTGTTTCGCGTCGCGGCGCACGACCAAAATGAACTTTTTCTCGTTACAAACTTGTCCTCCATTCCGAGCATGCTGCCGACCACGCGCCAGAAGTGAATCAGTCCCTCGAGTTCCTCGGAACTGTTGTTCACCCCGAGATAGTCACCGGCCAGAAGGGTGAATCCCATGAAACCGAACTGAGCCAACGCCATATCCAGCTGCGTGACACGGCTCAGCCCCGCCTCGCAGCTTCTACGAAAAGCCACGCAGTGCTTTTTCCGAACGATCTTCAGGGAGTCGAGGAACCTGCAAATAATGGAGTCATTTTCCTTCTTCTTCTTCTCTCTCTCTCTCTCTCTCTCTCTCTTACTCTCTCTCTTTTTCTCTTTCTCAGAGTCAAGCTCTTTTTATGAGCTAATGCCAAGCAGGTTTCAATAATATAGTAAACTGAATCATGGCAAAAAATTAGAAATATATTTTTAATTTTACTGTAATTATTATTATCTATATTTTATAGTTATTATTATTTTTAATGTTATTTTAATTATTATTATTATTTTTAATTTTATTTAACTGTTATTATTATTTTTTATTTTATTTTAATTATTATTATCTATATTTTATAGTTACCGATCGTCGATAACCATAAAAACGAGCCGTCCATTTTTGTTTACAAGCCGAAGGAAAATTAGGGAGAATTTACTGTATAGAGTGGACGTCCCAGTTTCCGTGCCTGTCCCAATTTCCGTGCCCCGGATTCAAAAAATGTATAGAAAAAGAAAAGTGTTATATACAGGGTGTCCCAAAATCATCGCATTTCCGAGAAATGAGAGTTTCCCGAAGAACGATAAAAGGATGATCAATTTTCTCGTGAACCGTTGCCGACCCGAATCTTTTTTTTTTTATTGACGTATTTAACGCGAATCACGATCATTTCGATCTTCCCGGATTCGAAGCAATATTTATTCGGCGACGCGTTAACGAGGCAGCGTATCCCGCAAGATAAAACGATTAAAATAACGGCGGTGCAACCGGCGTCGAACGATTCCTCGAATGCCAATGATCCGTTGACCCCGCCCCATCCCCCGAACCGTGTATTTCTGTCACGCAGAATATTTCGTCGGGTCGTGTTGCAAAATTTAACTTCGCTTTCGGCGCGAATGTGTTCAAAAAAATTTCGTTCAAGATGTTTTTGTCAGAAAAAGAAAAGAAACGAGACGTTCGAGTGTTAACGTATCGAATGTCTCGCGACAACAAATGGAAATACGCCACGCACTGTTTACTATTAATAGCGAAGTCTATGTAATTTGAATGGAATGCTATTAAAGAGGAGAAGAGGTAATTTTGGAACGGATCGTATTTTCCAGCGAGGGGCCTCGTGGAACTACTGCTATTTATATTTCAATGCAATGTATTTTCAAATTTTGCTCCAAAGAAATAGCTTTTTTGAAAAGATATAGGAAATATCGTTTAAATAATCTTGTATATTGGCGCACGCGATTTTTATTTATTACAAATATTCGCAGTCTGCTGTGGCTATTGTATAATAGTCTGCTATTGTATAATAATATTGTATAATATTTTATAATAATATTGTATAATATTTTATAATAATATTGTATAATATTTTATAATAATATTGTATAATATTGTATAAAGTTGTATAAAAATATTGTATAATACTGTATAATATTATATAAGTAATATCTGCATAAGGGGTGGCCAAAGCGTCGACCTATAGTTTACCAATAAAAATGGTCACCCTTAGCGATCAAAAGTTTGTCCATCCCTGGTCCACACGTTTCACTATACATATGTACATACATACATACTTACTGTCTCTCAATTTCAGGTCTCTTCCCATACCAGGCCCACGTGTGTAGAATAGTGGACACGTATCTGTGGAAGGACGCGCAAGGCGTGCCGCTCTGTTTGGTGAACGCTAAAACGTTCTTGATCGACGGTACAGCAAATAGGGACAACAGGCCGCAAAGTTTGGCGATCATCATCGTGAAAACATTATTGTGAAACATCCGCTGCCCGTCGAGGAACTTCTTCTCGTCGAAGAAGTCCGGCAATTCCGGCCGAAGCCACTTCAGGCCCATGAAAGTGTTTGCCCCGTCTTCGAGGAGCGTTCGCAGTTTCTCTTCGACAACATCTAAAAAAGAGTCTTGTTTGGGTAAAAGAACAACACGCGCCTCGCTTGCTGGTACCGTCTTTTCTTTTTCTTTCGTCCGATAAATTTCCAGCAGACGAGTTTCGTTCTCGTTTGTCTTCAATTCGATTGTTCAAAAAACAACGAACGATAAAAACAATGTTATATTATATATTAATTATATATATATATATATATATATATATATATATAATAATAATAATAATATATAAATATTCTACATATATTAAATATGCTCCTTTCTACATGTGTAATAATTGAAATGTTTATCCTTTGGAAAATTTCGATTCATTGAACAAGATCATGCTGAACAGAGAATCCGTATGAACATAATTCTACCGTAGTATTATCGCGTGGAACACTTTTGATTCGATACACCGTAATTACGAGTTAAATGAGTCATCGAGTTTTCAGAACATCTGAAGCCGCGAGCCCCGGTGGCAATTATGATCGGGGGAATTTGTAGAACAAGCCCCGTACACGTAGCACGTACCGCTTTGCGAGTGATTTTACAGCGTGATACGACGAAATCCATTTGGTATTCAGAGCCATCGAATGTGGATACATCTGTGCAGCGGACGCGACGCGAATACGAAAATTTGACAGATGCTCCGTAGAGCAGATGTGACAGAACACAACGTGTATCCAGGCTGGATAATATTTACAGTATATATATATATATACTGTAATAATATATAATATTATTATATTATATATATTATATATATTATATATATAAACTCCCGTTCCGCATACTTGCAGTTGTACGATAAAAATGTAAGATTTCATGCCGATTCCCACGTACGCTTCTTCTTAACAATGTGTCTATTAAAAGAGATTGCGAAACGTAGTCGTCGGATTCATCCGGCGTGAATTACATTCTAATCTTCCTTGATTAGAATACGGTAGAGGCTTCTCTAAGCGAGACCCCGTTAAACGTAAACGTAGTCCGATATCCGAACGTTCTATTTTCCATATCTTTTATAATATCATATAAAAGAAACTAGTTTGTGTGTGTGTGCCATCGTTGAACCGGTGTGAACTGGTCTCGCAGGAAATAAAGAGGTCATGTACCAGCTGGAAAACCAGATCTAATATACTACTAAATACTACTAAAATATATATAACACAATTGCATTATAAAAGTTGGCAACGTTTCACCAATGAGATGAACCTGCATGTAATTATGCTTTGTATAATATATATTTAATATAATATAATTATATAATATATATTTTTGTAATTATATTTGTTTGTATTATATATATATATATATTTATATTGTTTATATATTTTATATTATATTATATAATATTGTTATATTATATTATACATAATATTGTTATATTATTATATAATGCATATATATTGTATTATATATAAATATATGCTTTGTTTCTGTGTAATTACTGCAGTGTCCTACAGAATCTCCATTATCCGAACAGCCAAATATCCGATATTGTTAAGTAAATATAAGCCCTTACGAGATTGAAATGCTAAAATAGAAAAAAATATATATATAATTTCAATGTAAAGCCGTTGTATTTTGAGTAATTTGAAATTTTCTAAGTGACGAAGTTCCGCCAGCTACCATACTTATGTCTTGCATTCGCATAAGCTAGCGGAGTCGATTACTGTGGGGTGACCAACTGCTATGCCCTTGGCTTGTTTCCGGACACAATTAACTTACTGCTTATCGAATAATTTGTGTATTCTTTCATTTCGTTAATTTTTTTTAGTAAAACAATTTAATATGTCTTATCGTAAGTTAACTATACCGGAAAAGAAATCAAATGTCGCTGCACAGTAACCGGTTCCACTACCTTATTAGGTTATGGTGATACTGAATTCAGACGACTGGCTCGCATACGTCCGTACATGGTGAACTCTTTTCATCCGCATTCGTTTGTTGACGTGTGTGCATGTGTCTAGACCGAATATAAAACAATTAAAAAAGAATTGAAGCATTTAAGGACATTTAAAGACTAAAAATAATTAACTGTTGCATTACTATCAACTTACTAGGATTATTGGCAAAAGAAGATAAATGTTTACGTAGCTCGTGTATTGTGCATAATTAACGTAGACAATTTTTATTAAAATTATAATTTAAACCAATTGTTGTTACGTTACTATGGTTTGAGGTTAGCTCGTTGCTAAAACATGAAGGACAATTTGAGTGAATTAGCTGTTTTCACTTATTTTTGTTCATAAAATAATAAATATTCATGAAAGTTCTTCGCAGTAAAAATAGTTCTGAGCGTAAAGCGTCAGCAACATAAAATAACGATAAAAACGCATTGGCTATTAAATTGACTATGCACATTTTTCTTACATATTATAACCTTCGTTTCACGGTTGCAGATACGCTCAACTGGCGCAACGCGCAACCACTAGGCAACATATACAGGATGTCCCAAAAATGTCTCGCAATCCGAAAGTGGCGGGTTCCCCGGGTCATTCGAAGCAACTTCTTCCTTTACAAAAATTTTCTCCGAGGCACCGTTAACGAGTTATTAACGAAAAACAGTGACCAATGAGAGGCGAGCTCGCTAGACGACTGAGTCAACGAACGGTCGAAACCCCGTACCGCTCGCCGATTGGCTCGGCCGTCCAGCGCCAGCCGAGCTCGCCTCTCATTGGTCACCGTTCTTCGCCAAGGAAAAACCTTTCATCTTGGACACCCTGTATAACACGACGCATTATGAACCGCTCGCGGAGAAATCCTGTAAAATCGCTGCTCTTTCTGGCATTCACTCGCCAAGGACGCTCGCCGGCATCTTCTCGGACAGCATCTATCGATGTATTCGANATTGTTGTTACGTTACTATGGTTTGAGGTTAGCTCGTTGCTAAAACATGAAGGACAATTTGAGTGAATTAGCTGTTTTCACTTATTTTTGTTCATAAAATAATAAATATTCATGAAAGTTCTTCGCAGTAAAAATAGTTCTGAGCGTAAAGCGTCAGCAACATAAAATAACGATAAAAACGCATTGGCTATTAAATTGACTATGCACATTTTTCTTACATATTATAACCTTCGTTTCACGGTTGCAGATACGCTCAACTGGCGCAACGCGCAACCACTAGGCAACATATACAGGATGTCCCAAAAATGTCTCGCAATCCGAAAGTGGCGGGTTCCCCGGGTCATTCGAAGCAACTTCTTCCTTTACAAAAATTTTCTCCGAGGCACCGTTAACGAGTTATTAACGAAAAACAGTGACCAATGAGAGGCGAGCTCGCTAGACGACTGAGTCAACGAACGGTCGAAACCCCGTACCGCTCGCCGATTGGCTCGGCCGTCCAGCGCCAGCCGAGCTCGCCTCTCATTGGTCACCGTTCTTCGCCAAGGAAAAACCTTTCATCTTGGACACCCTGTATAACACGACGCATTATGAACCGCTCGCGGAGAAATCCTGTAAAATCGCTGCTCTTTCTGGCATTCACTCGCCAAGGACGCTCGCCGGCATCTTCTCGGACAGCATCTATCGATGTATTCGACATTTACGGACACACGATTGCCAAAAACTATTTACGAAGCGTTCGGTTTCTAGACACGTACCGTAGAAAGTTAGATCATCGGGACATTATGTCATCGTCGTGGCTGTTGCGTAAAATAGCGATTCGTCTTGCTTTCACCGGGGAGCACCGTGTGTCGTTCGTCCGACACGGGCAGGTCGCAATTAAAGTTCGATTCCAACGAAATGCATCGGCGTGTTTGGTCCGATCGCCTTTTTCGACACTGCACGCCGCGCATGCGCGCGCTGCATTCGAAGCTGGAACGCGGCGGGACGCGAGCCGCCGAGGAAAGTGAGTCGAGGTCGCGCGCGTTTCTATTCGCACTTTCATTGGCCGCTGCACGCTTAGAACTTAGGAACGCGAAACAAGAGGTTAACGGATCGACGCCGCGGTTTTTTACCGGTTCTCGATTTAACCCGCGCCGAGAATCGACCCGGAAACGTTCCAGAAAATCGAAGTGAGTCGATTACTCTGAACCGTCGCAGTAAAATTCAATTCGCATGGGATACAGTATTTTTTGGAAATCAGCGGAACATTTGACGCGTTGAACAATTCCAAGTCGAACGTTTATAATCTTTCGCAACCTTGACATAACCTAGAAACGCGAGACAAGAGGTTAACGGATCGCCGACGATGCCACCTTATTAACAGCCGGTCGAATGCTCTCAATTTGAACGCGTCAAAGTGCCGATAATCGATCGAAAAAATTCCAAGTAAATCCAAGTGAGTCGATTAACGTGATCAAAAGCGCAAAGTTCAAATTTATCGCAGCAAATGAATTCCTCAGAACGGTAAAATTCAGTTCGCTCGGATGCGTTACGATATAAATGTTTTTTTTCTTTTTTTCGAAGATCATCGAAGCGTTCAACGGGTTGAGGTTATGTTTCAAAAAAGGATTTTTCAGAGTTCTGAGAACCGCTGCGCGCGTCTCTAGGCTATTTAATAGGATGACCTGAATTTCTCAGAGACGTCTGAACGTCTCCTGTTGCGTTTTATATAACGATATATCGTGTGTTTGCTCGACACGAATTGCACCGAATAATTCCGCGTTTTCGACGACGCGGAATTGCGAGGCAAAAGCTTCGAGCCTGTTACGAAACCTTCACGCGAGTGTCCTTCACGGTTCACGAAGGGGGACGTCCGAGTCGGGCGTCCTTTTCTTCTGCTTTGTCCAGGAGCCGAACCAGTCGCCGCATCCTTATAAAAATGACCGGGGAAAACGAGATTTTAATCGGACCTTGACCGTTTCAGGCAGCCGCGCTAGGACTGGACGACGGTTGCCAAGCTCGTTTCGAAGTAAAAGTAGGCATCCGGGTTCATAGCGATGCATCTTTCACTCGTCCGTCGGAACAGTGTCGCCGGCATCAAGGATAAGCAGGGGATTATTTACGAATTTTAAGCGATAAATCGTCCGGAGTCCCGGAATCACAATTTTCAATCTAGAAAATGATTACGGTTGACTCCGGTAATTATAATTATAATTGTAATATAATTATAAAAATATAAACAAATGCGAATACCGAACATACAAAGCGAATAACGTAGAATGCATCGCGTCAATTCGCGAATTGTTCCCTATAAAATATTTTATTATAATATTATAATATAATTATAATATAATTATAATAGTGCTTTCGCATTTGTTTATATTTTATATAATTATAATTATATTATACAATATTATACAATATTATATTATAATTATATTATAATTATAATTATATAAAATATTATATGGGAAACAGTTCGCGAATTGACGCGACGCATCGCGCGTTATTCGATTAGAGCAGTGGCGCCGGTTATCGCGGACTCACAAATCGCTGCCTCGCATTTGTTTCCCAGCACAATTAACTCTATATTTGTCTCCTTATAAATATTATATTTTTCCAGTCTGTTATCTCGTTTATTTCCGAGCCAAGAAAGTTAAGAAAGAAGCTACGTTGCCTCGTTCGATGGATATAACGTTAACGATGCTGGAAGACGAGCCGAAGGCACAGTAATTGGTCGCTCCAGCGGATTAACAACGGACTAAGTAGCCAAGGCCGCGCAGCGCTCGTTCGCTGCAACAACGATGGCAATTGAACAATCTTCTGCGAAGCCAGTTTTCTCAATTAATTAGCATCGCGAAGCATTGAACCGGGACAGAAGCGCGTATCGCGATATCGTTCGCGTGCAATGAATGTCGAAGTTTCGAAGATTTTTTTTGAAAATTCTCTCGCTATCAGTACCTTGAGACCCGTGAATCTGCAGTTGCGGCATAGTTGCGGCAAACGAGCCCGGCGCATCGTGCACTAAATACGCGACGATTCCACGGCGACCGGGGTTAAACAACTTTGCCCTTGGACACTCTGCGCATGAGGGGAATGCCGCGTACCCCTTGGTAGGGGAGCCGCATGCAAGCTATATACGTATACGGTGACTCTGATTGATGTTCGGGCGCCTTTTCAACCCTTTGCACTCGAAGCTATTTCAACTGTGAATCCAAAATGATTTTTCCGATTTACGCTGTCTCTATTTTATAAGATAGAGCGCATTTTATGCGTGTGTGAAATTGGGTCTTGCGACTTGTATATATATGTATATATATATATATATATATATATATATATAATTATATATATATATAATTATTAATATATATTATTATATTATTATATTATATTATATTATAATTATATATATTATATTATTATATATATATATAATTTTATATTGGTAGTAAATTATTTGTATTGTTTATTAGATGATAGAGGGATGTGCTAGACAATGACTGAACTATTTTGTTACAATTTTTAACGCGTAGTCAAGTTACAAGCGTTTAAAGTTCGTTAAAACTGCAAGTTTCTCTCTTTCTATTGGTCGAAAGTGTCCAAAATCGGGACGAAACTGTGATTTTTGCGACCTTCAATTATTTACAACGCATACAAAAGTCACCTAATTTCAGTAAAATTTTTAAAACGCACTTAACCGACCGAGATCTACAAAACACATTATTTAAATTTTCGTCCTAGGCTCAGATAAAAAGTTAAAAAACGAGGATTTCTCATTTTCCTATTCTTTTCTTTTCTTTTTCTACGTTCCAAGCGATAGCAAAATTTAAAAATACCATTCCAGTCATGCTCTGATCATCCCCTATCATCCAAAAAAAAATTCAAGCCGTTCCTTTCGGTCCGAATAAAATTCTGATCTCTTGTCACCGGTATTTACCACCACTTTCAAAACAGCTTTTTTTAATTACATTTTATTTACACAGTCTTCTTCTTCTCACCAATTTCGCGCGTTATCGCAAGACCGCGGATCTTTTCGCAAAATACAGATTTTCCAACATGCCTGTACCAAACAGAAATCTACTAAAAAAATGAAACGTTTCTCAAGTTGAAAACAATGTATTTAGAAAGTTCGCGAATCAGACACAACCGACACTGACCTGCCACATACTCTTCTTTCTCTTCTTCTTTCCGGTGGATCCTGACCCGCACGATTTTTTCCATGTTTTAGAACCGAACGAGACTGCGAACGATCGACAACGATTTCTATGATCGCGACATGCAACCGTCATGGAGCAGCCGCCACACACTGGGAACCTCGTGCGAGCCTCGCCGTGAAAGTTGCGGAAACACGCTATGTTGCCGAAGAGAGGCGAGTCCGAGTCCGGCTAAGTTCGCCAGCCGTGCGACGAGCTAACCCGAGAAAAATAATTTATCGGCTATCGTTATCGGTGCAGTTAAATTTCGCCACAAACAAGGGAACGGGACACGGCCGTTCCGCACGCTCCGCTTCTGCAACGGCGGCGCATACTACACGCGAACGAAAGAAACTGATGTCGATCGAACATCTTTGGAGAAAGGTATCAGAAACGAGTCTCTCTCCTACTTTTCCACCTCGCTCCTGCTTCCACCCGACGACGCTGATCATGCTACAACGCGTACTTAGGTGGACGTACGCGTGGCGAAGCCTAGGATTTCCGAAGGACATGCGTGCACACGCGGCTTCAACTTCTAACAAATTATTTTATTAAGTGGATATAAATTAATATATAAATTATTATAATATATATTATTATTGTATAATATAATAATAATATATATTATTATAATAATAATATATAAATTATTTTATCAAGTGGAAATCGTCTTTTCTTCAAATTATATTCGCTCATTATTAAATCGACTTCATATTTTTCCAAATTGTATTCGCTCTTTTGTCAAGAAAATTCATCTATTCGGTTCTTCTATTCTGTTTTCTTAAACAAATGTTTTTAGAAAGATTTCTAGTTGATTTTGTCAATCTATTCGAGTAGTATTTAGTTGCTTTAATTTAATTCTAATAAACATTTTAACAATGGGTGCGTATATTTATTGCTATATTTGTAAGAAATACTTGCACAAAAAATTCTTTTGTTCGCCATTTCGTTAGATCGTTCTAAATGAAAGCTTTTCGCTATGTTACAGTCGTTTCTATTATTTACAGATCCATGAATAAATGAACAAAAATTGTTTATTTAAAAAAATAAACGACCAGAACAGTTCTTTTTGCAACGAGGTTCTGGAGCATGAAAAACTGCGCAATTTATCACTGGCAAGTTTTGTCGTATCTGTTAGCATTACAGAGAAAAAAAAGAATAGAAGAAAAAGAACCGGAAAAAAAGAACAGAAAAAAAAGTACAGAAAAAAATGAACAGAAAGTGCGAAAACTTTGGGGGTTGATTTCACCCTGTTCAAATGAAATTTAGCACCGACAAAAAGTGAAGAGGAAGACTAACGAATATGAAAGACTAAAGTTCGTTACTTCAAATTTATTCTATCAGAAACTATGACATATGTACAGAATGCTAACGTAATATCGGACGACGATTTATGCTAATGAGAATTCAACTGAAAAGCATGGATATCCTTAAAATAACATTGCGCAATTCCGTTCGTGAAAGTTATATATGTACATAGAAACAGCGTTCACGGTGCAGATAAGTGAGCGCATCTATGTCAAAATTTACGATTGGGATAGTGTTTCAGTGGTGTTTAAATTCAAGGACATGGCATTCGACGAGAGTGTGCTCAGGACTTTTTTGCAGCACCGCGTAAAACAGAATTACACGAGAGGCGATAGCAGGATCTTAGGTCTCGATTGCGAAACCTAACGATCGGTTTTAAAGTAGGCGTGTATTCCTGTCGCTTGCCATAGTCGCGGCAGTGTTTATTAGGACGCGGCATTAAAAAATTCTAATTATTGTCGGAAGAATTATAATGTAATATAATATAAATATAATATAAGTATAATATAAATATAATATAAATATAGTATAAATATAATATAAATATAGTATAAATATAATATAAATATAGTATAAATATAATATAAATATTGTATAAATATAGTATAAATATATTATAAATATAATATAATATATAAATATAATATAAATGTAGTGTAAATATATAATAGAAATATAATACAAATATAGTATAAATGTAATTATGAAACATGAATATGAATATGTGTGTGTGTGAAATACACATTTAGAAAGTAGAAAATGGTTCAGTGAAAAATGACTATTTTTCTAAATATCTTTGATGATAATTTCGTTGCAATATATCTCCAATGGTTCGTTGTGCCCACCGTGCGCCGTCACAGCATCGTTGGAAAAGGCAGTTGTAACGCGTGCACGTTCAGCAACACCACGCCGAAGAATTTCAGCTACCAACATTTTGCAACAAGTTACATAAAAAAGCCTCCCGAGAAGGAGGCCATACAAATTGTGCGAATTCATTGGGCAACGGACCGCGCCATCGGCAGATGCTGTGTTCGCAGATATACATATTTGACTATAATTTAAGAAATACGAGAAGAATCTCTTCGCGAGACGCTGATAAGCAGACTTTCGGCGTTTACGACGAAAATGATTAGCCCGTAATTGTGGACGTGATAAAAAAAAGCATTAAGAAGATCGAAGAGCAAATCATTGAACAAGCAAAAAAACGTCTGAATCATTCTTGTTTATTGGAACAATTGCAGAGAGAATTTACTTCGCATAAAGATCCGCAGTTTAATAATAAATATATTGACCAGAATTTATTATTATTTAAGAAGATATTATATTATATATTATATTATATTATATTATATATTATACTATACTATACTATATTATATTATATTATTATATATTATATTATAATATATTATATTATTATTATTCAAGAACATCATATTACAAAAAAATGCTTCAAGCAACAGCTGTGCATTTTTTCCCGTAGAATATGCTTCCGAAATAAAAAATACCGGTTTATGATAAAGAAAAACAAGATACCCTTGAAATAACCTTGAAAGCGCTCACTCATTAAAAAACAAGCATTGCCATTTGACTCGCCTCTCGAAATACTAAAGAACACGTACCAGTTTGTATTTTTTTTAATCACCTGTCTACGAGATTTTTTTAACGATCTCAACTCAAATGGGACACCTTGTATATTATACAGTTAAAACTTTTTTAAAACTGGACCAGATGACTTGAATTTTTCTTTAGATGCTATCTTGATCAGGTTGATAATAATCCAACAGCATTGTTAAATTTCTCTTAGATTTATCACACTATTTTGTATTCTACTTTTGCTATAAACATTGTTATTGCCGATTGTTATTGCTCTCTCAGCAAGTCTTATTACCGTCTTCGGTACTTTTAGTTCATGGCACACGGGATTACGAGACATTAGAACTTTACGATGTCGCGCGGCTGTTACTTCAATTACACATGTCACGATTTTTATGGTTGTTCCGTCCCAACGCTGATTGATTGTTCTTCTTTTTTTCAGAAGCAGTAAAACTTCTTCTTGCCGATCGTTGCACGCGTCTATCGGCGGGGCGACGAAACGGTGATCGTTCGCCGACGACACCCAGACCCAAATAAACGCCGATACCTTTCGTCTGAACGGAAAGGGAAAGTTTTATTGGACCCGCTCCCTTCCTTTCCGCTCTAATGCGCCGCCAATGTGTATGTATCATAGTCGTTTGGTGTATCGGCGAAAGTTAGATGGCACGCATTTTTACACCCACGCATTAGAAGGGATGCAAGTGATACAGGGGGTGAGTCACGTGACTGAGCTGAAAATAAAAGGTAATTATTGGAAATAATTGTTGGGCTATATTTGAAAATAAAACTAATTTCCAGCCAAATAATAGCAATTTCAAGCAATTCGTGTTTCAAATATTTCAAATGTAAGGAAAGATAATGATTTTTTAATGAAATATATATAAACAATTATAATTAATTAAAATGATGGGACAATGAAAGGACATTTAAGAATGCCAACACATTATATTTTTGTACTTTATTTATTACAATTGAAATTATTGACAAATGGAATAACTTCTTATTTTATTTAACTTTTTATTGTAATGCTACATTTTGCAATTGCATCAATTGCATAAAAATTTAGCGAACACGCTAAAAATTGGAATTGCTGTTACTTAGAAACGCGGATCAACGTACTTTTTATTCTACCAATGTACTGAAGCTATCTGTAACGCTGTGACCCATACTAATTTAACGCTCTGATTGCGACACCTGGATCCATTTATTACTTGGCCCTTACTATCTCCTTGTAGTCTACGATTCAAGACAGAACCGACAAAGATAACTTTTTCTCGTGGCAACGAAGCGGTGAACCATAATTCAGTCGGTTTCGAAAGTTCTAATTATGTTATATGCAGGGCTTGGGAGAATAGATGTTTGAAATGGTAAATAGACTGTAAATAATTTTATCTAATAGAAATTTATCGATATACTATCATCAAACCATTATTATTAATTAGTTTTGTCATATACAGAAAATATTTTCAATATTTGAATGTATTTGGGTCTTGGTTAATGCAAAGTTGGGGATAACAATGTTAATTCGATGATTCTAGTAATTAATATAGACCAAGATGTTATTTGAAATTAACTCGAAATTAACCTGCACGCAACATGAGGGTCGCTAGAGCCACGCCCCTTGACTCCCGCCGCGCGATCAGAGTGAAACAAGTCGAGCACAATTAGAGTCTCTCTTTCTGTCTAGAAATTGCTATATGTTCAGCAGTAGCAGATGCTGCCTCCATGTATGCATATATATATATATATACATATGTATATGTATATGCTTTAAAAGTCACTTCAGACACACTTTTCTCTGTGCCATCAAATGTAGTTCACTAGCTGACCGTCTATTTAGATAGAGTCCGCTATCGTACCGCAGCATTTTCTGTGCGGTAGGTACCTTTTTGCACAGTCGGTAATTCAGATCCCGAGACAGGAAGAAACATTTTGCATGCAACGCCTGTAGGTATCCTAAGGCCGACTTTATTGGTTGAGCGGGGATTTGTCGCCGCGTTTTCGGGTTTCAAATGTTTTCTAACCGTTTCATATCGTACATACGCTATATTCATTTCGAGCTCCACGTATTTTTATTATAAGAATTTTCTTTTAATACTTCTTTTTGCCGTTGCTGATGCAAATTATAAATTTATATATGTACAATTGGGCCAAGCGGTCTAAATTCTTTTAGAGATTGTCAATTCACTAGATAACATAATGGCTCAAAAATTATTTCCAAAAATTGCAATTTGAAAATAGATAATAGAATTTATTCAATTTTTCATGTGAGCCCATAACAAATGAACATTTAAACAAATGCAGCTTGTAGATCTCTGTAAAATAGGAACAGAAACAAACGTTATTTATACAAATTGGGCGCCCCATTGGACGCCAATATTGGCGCAGATCACGCGTAGCTACGGCACTGCCGTGTCGAAAGAAGCGAGCAGCAGATCACGCGGCGCCAAAACGCCGCGCATGCGCAGCTCGACCAGTACGAATTTAAAATCGCTTAACACTTTTTCTATATTATATTATCTATTATATATTATATTATCTATTATATATTATATATTTATTATAATAGATAATTATAAAATATTATAATTATCGATACTGACACATTCAGGAACCCTTCCTCTATCAATTTAGGCCAATATGATCTTCCTAACGCTTCCAGCTTTCGCGCAATACTTCATATTAGCTAAAATAAAAAAACGCTGAAATAAAACGCTCTCATAAAAACTCGTGTTTCTTGAAAACTGACGATGACAGAGCAATTCGGTTTTCGGATTCGCGCTTGGAAAGTGACGCTCTTACAAGAAGCGGTTATTAGAAGGCCGAAAAAAGAACTTTTGATTTATTGAACAGTGTTATTAAATACATATAATTATCAATAAATTATCGTTGATTTGTCGTTAACGCTAGACGTGTGTTGTTTTATATATTCTCAGGGTTTTGTCTTGACCGCCGAACGCCAGAAATTTCGGATTCGACCAATCGCAGCACAACACTTCCCCGTGGTGATGGTGTAGCTCGAACAATGGTGTTTTAGGGCTGGAAAGAAACGTTTGAAAATGATTCGAAAGCTCGTACTACACTTTGTTTGCAAGAATTCGATAACGATTTTATTCGACGTATCATACTTTCTGGTGTCCCAAAGTTTCACTCGTTCGCCAGCTACGATAAATAAATCCCGATCCACGGTCGACCATCTTAAACTTCTCACCGGATCGCTGTGACGATTGAATATTTGTCCCACACGCGAGCTCGCTAGAAGTAATTTATATTATAGAATTTTATAGAATTTACAACGATTACCAAATACAGATTCTGTACTTCTTACCTGTACTTCTCAGATCGTACAATATAATTTCGTCGTGGGTGGACGCTACCACGGAACGACGCAACGGCGAATAATCGACCTTGTAAAAGCAATCGTGGTCGGTGAGCACATGTTTAACGTTGCCCGACTCGTAATCCCATATTTTCATCGACTCGTCCAACGAGCACGATATAATCTCGGTTTTGTCCGACCAGACTAAACCGGTGATAAGGTTTCTATGAGCTTTTATCGTCTTCAGGCAGTCCTACAATAATTACAATAATACAGAAGTTAGTAAATTCACGCGTACCAGTTGCAGTTCTCGCATTTCTGCCTATTTCAACTTACTCTAGTTTTCCGTACCGGATATTTGTTGTGTTTGTTTGGACCTGGATTGGCTAAAAAACGTGAATATAGGGAGGAGAAACCTGTCTGATCTCTAAGGATATTTTCTTTCGTACTCACCGGTCGACCAAAATCTTATCGTGGCGTCCCATCCCCCGGCAGCCACCAAATTCGCGCCATAATTAACGCTAAGCATATCGAATCTGGCAACTAATCCGCTGTTGTCGTGCGTACAGATCGTGCGCGATATCACGGTGTTCTTCGTGACGTTGCAGGACCATATTACAACCGTTTCGTCCCTCGATGTGCTGTACATTTTTTTATTATTTATTGTAGATTCGTATTATTGTAATGACTATTATATTATATTATTATATAATATATATTATATAATATTATATTATATATATTAATAATATAATATAAATTAATAATAAATAATTTATATTATATTATTATAATATATTATAATATATTATTATATTATTATATATACTATTATATTATTGTAATGATTATTGTATCAGTAATGACGCCTGACTAATTAACGCCCAGATTGGCCACAAAAATGGACAATTCGGGAAGAGGAGATACGATTAGTTATAAATTGGCCACAATTATAAAAACGAGCCGCGAGGTTCGAATAATCGTATCCCCTCTTCCCAAATTATTCCATATTGTTATTACATCCTTCCTATATTATTATTATTATATTATATAATAATAATCGTATCTCCTCTTCCCAAATAATTCCATATTATTATTACATCCTTGCATCCGTATTGTTACATGCTTCCTATATTATTATTATTATATTATATAATAATAATTTTATCTCCTCTTCCCAAATTATTCCATATTATTATCACATCCTTGCATCCTTATTATTATATGCTTCCTATATTGTTATTATTATATCAGAAATTTTAGTAGACAGTCTGAGCGTCAGTAAGGGAGACATTACTGTAAACGCTAAGAGCGTCGCGATGATTTACCTAACGAAGTTAGCAGTGTCTCTCTTCATCGACAGCCACGCTACATCTTCGATGCCTTTCTTGTGACCACGAATTCCAACACGATGCTTTCCTCTAATCGTCCAGATGTGCAACGAACCATCAAGACAACCAACCAATATCCTGTGAGAAGCATAATTTGTTCGTTACGATTAATCCTGCATATATTGTTATTGTTGATCTATGTTTAATAAGCTATAAAAATAACCATTCGTCGTAAACGGCAACAGCGCTTACAGGTTCAGTATGTTTAAGGTATCTTCGAAACGTCGGTTTCGGATAATCTTCTTTGGATTCCACATTTTCTTCTTCTTTTTCTTCTTCCGTAGTGGTTTTTTGATCGCTTTGTTGCTCTTTCTCGCTCGCATCTTTCGATGTCCCGGGTTTGGCAAAGTCCACGCGCGATACACCGGCCACCGGTTTCACCGGCGACTGTTCCTCGATGCTCAAACCTTCCAACCTGCTGCTCACCTCCGGGGCAAACAGAGGAAGCACGCACGCAGAGGTCCTCATTCGGGACTCATCGGCTGCCTGATTTCCGGTGTAAGATGCAAATTCTGTACAATAATACCGATTTAATATATCGAGTAATATTTACGAATATATATACGAATATATATATATATATTGATATATATAATATATATTGATATATTGATTGGCTCAAAAACGATTGAGATAAATACCGTAGCTGAAGACGAACGTGTCGTTCTCGCACTTTTTAAGTTCCTTCGCGATCCACGTGACAGAACGTCCGCAAATTGCCAAGTCCAACGGCAGATATTCGCCGCCATCGCTGCGTTTAATGAACGGTCCTAGTTTAACGACGATCTGGCTGTCATCCGACATGTTTGTGCGTTCTCAGTTCCTGTATGTAGTGTTGACCTCCAAGAGCATGTAATTATGTGCGAGCTTCTATGTATCGGCAATGTATTGTAAACAGAGCAACGGTAGGAGTAGCCGTGCGGCTGAAAACAGAAATGTAAACATTACAGAGGACAACGAATGTGAAAGCCTAAAACGATAAACGGTCACTTCGCGTGCTGGCTTTTCAACTGTGATTTTCAAACTCGATTTTCTCGAAAACGAAGCCACGAATTTTATTCCTTACGAATACCGTTCACTGTTACGCTGCTGCTGTTCGAGAAAACAACGCCGGACAGAGAACAGCGAGGCGACGTATCCCCTTACCGCGAATTTGTTGGATCAACTCGTGACAACGACGATCTCTCGAACGACAAACTGGTTCCTTCGAACGTCCAGGCGGCCGATATCGCTTCTCCAGAGCCGAGATTCGATCGGTTCAACGTGAACTTTACGCACAAAGAGCTGGATAGATCGAACGGAACGAACGTTAACGCTTTAGTATGGTTTATCACCGGCACGCGACACTTGCATCTACTTACAGGCTTGGTCCTACTCGTACGGGTGGCCGCTTCTGCACAACGTAAGCGGGAACCGAAGCGACGTCGAATTCAAAGTCTGCATGGTGGGGGGTTGGCGTCTGCGTACGTTGTCGCGAGCTGGCCCAAAATTATTTGAACCGCTCGGCCGCGTCGATCTGTTATTAAGATCGATTTTGTACGCGTTTTTTTATCGATCACACTGGGCGTAGTTGTTCTAGAATTATTCTGGAATGTGCGGAATTTACGAATATGTTTCACGAGCGTTTCAACCTGAATCATAGGCGAAATATTTTAACGGTCTTCGTCACTTATTTGTTTTCAGTGTCCAAAACACGTCTACGAATACCATGAAACTTACATGTATTTTTAAACATAGCGTTGCTGAGAATATTGTGGATTTAGGGGTCCATAATTGATCATATTTGATTTTGGTATAATCCTGTAGCAAACTAAGATCCTTAGGTTATTATTCTAAACAATATTATTCTAAATTTTTTTAAATTTTCTAAATTCTAATATCTATCTATTCTAATATTATTCTAAATATTATATTATATTATATAAATCTAGTCCAACACACCGCAAGTGCAAGCTATGAATTTTATACCTTTTATTATTGTATTATAATTTTGTGAGCGACCATAAAAGCAATGGAAGGTCATAAAGACGTTATCACCGGTTTAGCCTGGTCGGAGAAAACCGAAATAATATATAAAAGAGTCAGACAGTGATTATTAGAAGGCAGAAAGAACTTTCGATTTATTGATTTATTGAACATTTATTAAATATATACATTTATCAATAAATATCGCCGTCGTTGATTTGTCGTTAACACGAGACGCGTGTTGATTTATATTTTTTCCGGTTTCGTCTTCGCCACCAATTTTTTATATACTAATCTCGCCCTGTTCGAATTTAAAATCGCTCCAACACCTTTTCTCTATAATTACTTCTATTATAAATAACATAAATATTTATAAATATTTACAGAATCATAATTTCCCGTAAACATGCAAAAATATTGCGTAGAAAATAAGTACTTCGGCATCTTTTTAAACTTTGACGGTCATTTAATACTATTTAGAAGAATAAAATATTATATCTAAATATAATATTAAATAATATTATAATAATAATAATTAATATAATATTATATATATATTTAATATGTTTAATATATGTTTGATATATTTATATATGTTATATATGTTCTATATTTAATATGATATTATATCTAAATATAATATTAAATAATATTATCTCTCTCTCTCTCTCTCTCCCTCTCGCTGACATATTCAGGAAGCCTTCCTCTATCTGTTAGGCCAATACGACCTTCCTAGCGTTTTTAGTTTCTTGCGCGGTACTTCGTTTTTGCTAAATATCGCACGCACTAAAAAAACAAACTCGCGTTTTTTAAAAACTGGGATTTATAGAACAATTCGGTTTTCGGATTCGTGTTCGGGAACCTCCACAGGAATCAGTCAGTGGTTATTAGAAGGCAGAAAAAAAACTTTTGATTTATTGAACACTGTTATGAAATGCATATAATTATCGGTAAATTTAGATAACGTTAGACGCGTGTAAATTTATATAACCTTACGATTTTGTCCTCACCGCCGAATGCCAACATTTTTGGATTCGACCAATCGCAGCACAACACGTCCTTCTGGTGATCGCGTAGATCGTACAGTGGTGTTCTGGGACTGGAAACGAACGTTTCAAAAAATGATTCAAAAGCACAGACAACATTGTCGCATGCAATAATCGATTCGACGATTGTCGATTCATTTGATTATTCAAATTTAACACTAAACCTACCGAGCAGTAATACTAACTGGCATGTACTGCTTCACAGAAGCGACAAGACCGAATTTATTTAGCATTTGTAAAGTTTTTATTATTTATTTTATTATATATATTTATATATATATATATATATATATATAATATAATTTATATATATATTTATACTTATTATATATTTATTTATTTATTTTCCACGAAAGAGTCTCGGAACTTTGCAGAATTGCGAAACAAGAAAGCGGTCACTTTGACCGCGGTAGATTCAGCGTTAAATGAAAATGATCGATTCGATTATTTATCAATACCGTCTGATGTCCCAAAGTTGCATGCGAGCGCCTCCTAAAATAAACAGATTCTGATCCACGGGCGACCATCTTAAAGATTTCACAGGCTCCTTGTGATAAGCGAACACTTTCTTCACGATCGTGCTGTTACCTGAATGTTAATTGCATTGATTTTGTAGAATTGTCAATGATCGCGAATCGGAATACAAATTCTGCGTGTACCTGTGTCTCTCAGGTCGTACAACCTAATCTTGTCGTGGGTGGTCGCCAGTATAGAACGACGTAACGGCGAATAATCGAGGCTGTAAAAACATTCGCCACCGCCAAGATCGTGTATGATCCTGCCCGATTCGTAATCCCATACCTTGATCGTCTCGTCGAACGAGCACGATACAACCTCGTTTTTCTCCGACCAGGCGATACCGGTGACGACGTCTTTATGACCGTCCAGATTTTTAATGATCGTCTACAACATTACAATAATAACATAAGTTGTACAATAAATTCATACATTCCTCATTCGGGATTCCTATTTATAATTCTATTTAGGCATTTATGCCTAATTAAACTTACCTTTGGTCTACGCGCCGAATTTTTGGTGAGTTTCTTTCTATCTTGAGTGGCTGAAAATACCAATATATAGGGAGAAACCGCTATATGCTATATACGCTGTTGTTTAGTCTGTTAGTATATTTTTTGCTTTTATACCCACATGTGGTCCAAAATTTCAGCAAGCCGTCCCATCCTCCGACAGCCAGTATAGTTTTGTTCGGATGAACGTTAAGCACGTTTAACGTATTAAACACGCCCTTGGAATCGTGCGAACAATACGTGCGAAACACTATAGAATTCTTCAGCATATTGCACACCCATATTATAACTGCTCCATCCTTCGATGCGCTGTATATTTTTTATTATAAATATTATCAATTATATTATAGTATTGTTTATGTAGTATTATATAATAGTATTTATTAGAAATATTATTATTATTAATTATATATATATACTATAATAATATATATATATATATATATATATATATATATAATATTATATTATATTAATATAATATAGTATAGTCTATATTATAATATAATAATATAATAATTATAATATATTATATTATTATAGTAATTATGATTATTATACTATATTATAGTATAGTATAATATAATATAATAATAATAATAATAATAATAATAATAATATAATATATTATATTATATATATATATATATATATAATATTCAGGTTATTTGA